TCAGAGGTTTATAGCATCTTAGACTTTGTAAAGTTGGTAAAGACAAGAATTACACCCCCTCCCCTCCTCCCAAGTTTAAGCCCATCTGAATAATTATAGGAAAGTAAAAGCAGCTTGAAAGCCAACCAGATGTTTGTTTTCCCACCCAGGGGGTATCATAAGAAAGATTCAAGAACATGGTTTTGTAGTTTCCCACTTGAAGGAAATCCAGCTAACTGCAGACAAGGTTGAGGAAATTTATAGGGTTCTTGAAGAGAAAGATTTCTTTGAGGACTTACTGATTCACATGATTGAGTAAGTACTGTTTTCTTTTCTAAAACCAATTGATGCATTGGAAAAATTGACTACCAAGAAAAAAGACTCGTGCTGACAAAAAAATTTTGGAATTTTTCCATGTTCTATTTCTGTTAATAATAACCCTTGGGGCCTTCAACATACTACTTGGTCATGGTTTTGAAGAAGGAGAACAGCGTGAAGCACAAAGTCAGGCAGCCCTACTCAGCATCCTGTGAAAAGTCCATTGGTGAGGTGGCAAGATCAAGCCCCAGGCTAGGCCTGTGCCAGAAGACTATCCCAGGCAGGGCGGAGCAGGAAAGGCTTCACAGACAACATGCTGCTGGAGTTGCCTTCAAAGAATTAAATGTACCACATCAGGGGAATGGCTTGTTCCCCAGCAGGGTAGAGTACGAGGAGAAAGCCTTTAAATGTAATGGACAAAATAATCTATCAATTAGAATATGTAAATGAGGTATGATTTCATTAGCTGTTTGTCAGTGCCACTGGTCCAAACTTTATGTTTTAAGTCTGAACATTTTAAATATTTGAACATGAGAGAGGCAATGTATTACAACAGCTAGAGAGCTGTCTTCAGGCAGAAAAGCTTGAGTTGAAGTCCCACTCCTGACAGATATGACTATGGGATGCCGGACAAAGATGTTAGGGTTTGCACTGTTGGGGTCAGTCTGAAAAACATCGGTGAAGGGCATATGCAATCTTTCGTGTGGGTGCCTTTAGGACACTTGACAGTGATTCTTTGATGGTCTTTTGACTTCCAGGGGTCCCTGCATGGCCATGATCATAAGTAAGGAGAATGCAGTACAGGACTGGAGAAAGTTGGCTGGCCCCACAGACCCAGAAGAAGCAAGAAAGGTTGCCCCTGAATCCATTCGGGCACTCTTTGGGAAGGACATCTTGGACAACGCGGTACATGCGTCATCTACCAAAGAACATGCCCTGAAGACCATTGAGCTGTTATTTGGAGACATTGATTTGGACTCTGAGGATCATGAGATCTAAGGTAGAAAGCCTCTAATTCTCTTATTTTGTTTTCAAGGCTTGTCAGATTTTCAGGACTGACCATAAAGCAAGCTTACCAGAAACACCTGTTTAGAACTGCAGATCTCGAGTTGGAAGGGACCCTAGGAGCCATTGAGTCCAATCACTCATTTTCCAGCTGAGGAAACTGAGGCACAGAGCGGCTTAGTGGAATACCCAAGGTCACACAGTTATTAAGTATTTAAGCGAGATATGAACGCAGGTCTTTCTGACTTCATGTCTCTCCCTCCTGCTCCTCTACTACCTTCATCTTGGTCAGGCCCACAATAATACTGTGCATAAAACCTCAGAGTTGGTCAACCTGAAGCATGAAGCCCCTACACAATTCTCCTAACAAATGGTCAGTCAGCTCTTGCTTAAAGAAATCCAGTGATGGGGAACTCACTACCTTGAGAATAGTGAGCTTTTCCTTTTGGAAAGTTGAAATTTGTCTTCCTAGAGTTTAACCCATTATTTTTAGTTCTGGTCAAGAAGATGTCTACTCCTCCCTCTTTCATGACAGGAAGAACCCTATGTTACATGGGCCTTAACCTAAGAGGGATTTTAGTCCAATCCCCCAAAAGTCGCTCTGTTCCTGTAGCCCAGGTGAAGGGATGCTATCTTGCCTGTGTGCAGCCCAGCTCATTATGGGTGATTCAGGCCCACTCAGCATCTGCAGCCCAGTTGTCTGTTGGCAGTGTGAAGACAAGGCTGTCAGTCAGGAAACAGACATTTAAATGCTTATTCTAGGGATACCAGGAACAGCAGAAACACCATCTCTTCCCTCAAAGAGCTCACATTCTAATAGGAGAGAGATACAGAGTAGATGCGAGATAATAGGAGAGACAGGGTACTAGCAGCTGGAAAGACAGACGGAAAAGGGTGCTTGCAGAAGATACAATTTGGGCTGAAATCTAGTTCCCTGGGTTTGGGGATGCCCAGACCCAGTTCTCAGGCCACCTGTGGGGCTCTGTATAGCGGGGCATTCCCCAATGCCTGGCAACTATGGTCTTAACTCCTCATCATGAGTTTTCCTACCGATTTAGCACTTGGAGAACAGTGGAAATACGATGTAGCTTCTTCTTACACTTCATTACCAACTTGCTATGTGGCCTTGGCAAGTTCTGTCCCATATCTGGGCCCTGGTTTCCTAACCCTTAAAATGAAGAGACTGCTGTTAGGCAAAGCCTGAGGTCTCTTCCTGCTCTACCATTCTGGGATTGGTTTTGCAATGCTATTGCCTATTGAAGTTGGGCAGGGTGACAACTGGAAGGAGTGAATTGAATGAAGCAGCTAGGTTAGAGTAGTAGATATGGAATTAGAAAGATCTGAGTTCAAATCCAGCCTCAGACTCTTTCTCGCTGTGATGCTGGGAGAGTCATTTAACCATTGCCCACCTCAGTTTCTTCAACTGTAAAATGGGGATCACAACAGCACCTACCTCTCAGATTGTTGTGACAAGCAAACGATAATATTTGCAGAGCACTTTGCATGGTGTTTGGTGCGTGGTAGCATAAATACTTATCCCTCCCCCATTCTCTATCCCCAAGGCATGCTGGTAAGTTGTTTGCGGATAACGGGAAACTTGCTTTTAACATGGCAGAAAGGATGTGAATATGAAAATAAGCTGTCATGGCGACGTTGTGAATGGGTTCCTTTTTCTTCCCCAGAGCTTCCAGCAGATGTTGCTCCATTTCAAATATACAAGGCACCTTCCTCATGCAACAACAGCAGCCTCTTGGGGGAAAGGAACAGTGATATCAACACAAATAAAACAAAACAAAATGAAACGATCCTCTGAAACGGAAAAAAAAATCAACCTTTTCCTGCCTCGGCTTTATGGAACAATTAAATAGGGAGTGATCAGTGTAGAGGTGAACGTTAAACCCAAACTGATGAGGTCATGAGCAAAAGTCTAGACAGAAAAGGAGAGGGGGGCAGGACAGAGCCTCGGGAGACACCCGCAGGCAAAAGGTAAATAACAGACCTTCAAAGAGGGACAAAGGAGAAGACTGACTCTCTTGTCACTGCTCTCCCTGCGCGCCAATCCTGTTATATTCTTCCATGAGCACGTCTCTAAAATTTAAAGCAAAAAATAATCATCCCCAAAATGTAACCTTCTTCAAGAAATCTTTACAAAGTTGGGTTGGTGCAATTGGCCGCCAAAGTTCTATCCTCTCATTCAATTTGCTTCAGGAAAGATGTTGATAAATGTTTGAATTGATATTACTTCCCAACATTTTTTTTTTGTGAGTCTATTGGGGTTAAGTGACTTGCCCAGAGTCACACAGCTAGTGAGTGCTATGTGTGTGAGGTCAGATTTGAACTCAGGTCCTCCTGACTCCAGGGTTGATGCTGTATCCACTGCACCACCTAGCTGTCCTCCAACATTTTTTTTTGAACTACCAAATTTGCTAACTTGCTAGAGAGCTAGCTGTGTGACCTTGGTCAAGTCCCTTCCCCTTTCTGTGCCTTAATTTTCTCTTCTATAAAATAAAGAGATTGGATTAGAGTAAATGTTTTTAAAGTTGCCTGCTAGCACTGATGATGTATGATTCCAAATTAGTGAAAGAAATCATCCCAAAGATTGATTCCTTGACTGCCTTCCCAATACTTCCTTACAGAATTCACATCATCTTTGGGATTTACCATCTATGACGCATGCTTAACGTGAGGCAAATCGTTTACCCTTTCTGAGCCTCAGAGCCTCAAGTCTAAAATGGAAATCAATAATGCCCATGGTACCTCACTTTTTGGTTCACTGGGAAGCTCCAGTGAAAAGTTATACATGAAGTGCTTTGCAAAGTTTTCAGTGTTATAGAAATGTTTATGGTTGTTATGATCATTGTTGTTTTAAATTTTTTTGTCTGCACCTGTGACTCCATTGGCATAGTTACCGGTGAGGAACCTCTCTCTCTCAATGTAGGTGAGCGCCTACCCTACATCTTAAGTGTCTTAAATGCCTGAGACACCAAAAGGTAGATTGTTTTGCCCAGGGTCACACAGCTAGCATATTAGAAGTAGAGTCCCATCATCCCCATTATTATTATTATTATCATCATCATTATTATTCAATAGGGTTTCAGTTCATCAGTTTACTGTTTCTGCCTGGCTAGAATCATGCATCTGACCAACTGTAGAATTGATACAGCCATTTCAATATTCTCCCCAAGTAAAATTGCTTCATAGTATCTCACCAGTAGATGGTGTATGCTGACCTAGTATAGACACATGGGTGTGTACATTTATCACTTGCTTGGGAATGATGGAGCACCGTTTATAGGATCCCTGATTTAGAATTGGATGAGATAATTTTATAGATGAAGAAACTGAGGCCCAGTGAGGTGAAATGACTGTTGATTTGGGTTGGGAGCACAGTGGAAGGGATGTGGTCTTTGTGGTCAGAGAATGCTGGAATCCCAGCTGTCCCACATCCTACCTGTGAGTGACCTGCGACGGTCTGTCTGGGCTCAGTTTCCTCATCTATGCACTGAGAGGATTGGACTTAGTGACCTTTAAGGTCTCTTCCAGCTGTAAACCTAGTAACCCACAACTCATCCACAGTCATACAAATAGAAAGTGTCACGACTGGGATTCAAACCCACGGTTTTCTTTTAAAATATTTTTTAATGATATCTTTTGTTTCTTCATCACCTTCATTTTTTAATAAATCCCTTTCCTGGCCCCTTTATAATGAGTAATCCCTTGTAACAATTTTTTAAAGAAAAAAACAAAGAGAAGCAGGGCAGAAAACACAGTTGAGCAAAATTAGCCAACTCATCAAGTGAGTCTGGTAATATGTCCTAACATTCCACGTCTGTGATACCCCATTTCTGCAAAAATAAGAGGAAGGAGCATTTTTTTTACTATTCTGTAGAGCAAGCTCATGAACCCAAGTGTTTTGGCTCTAGGCACAGCAATACTTCTACTGCATCAACTGCCGCTCTCTTACGATGACAAAATATTGCCCAACAGCCTAGGACAGTTCCCAAGCCACTCCTTCCCTACTACTGGGTGGGGAGCACTTTTACATTAGGGGAGTGTGGCCATTTTTCAGATAAACGGGCAAATTTAGAGCGGTGAAGTCACTTGCGCAGAGTTACATAGTGATGGAATGACTAGGACATGAGCCTTACAGAAGCCTCCTCCAGGTTTGGAAGGCTCTGGACAACTCTGGCTTGCTGGCTACCTGGGCAAGAAAGACCTTTACCTTTTTGACCTCCAAAGATTACAAAGATTATAGTGTTTAGGCCTGCTTTTGCTAATTTGGTAGTAGCATCTTGTAGAGATTTTAATGGTTTGGGCTTCTGGTGAGTCTCACATTCCTCATGACTTTTCTCTTTTAGATTATCTCACCATCATTCATCTAACTGTTCCACCTCTACTCAGCCAATGTATATCCAGCAGTCAATAAACATTTATTAAGTGCCTACCATGTGCCATACTCCATGATGTGGAAATCCAAAATTCCTCTTTCTGATCAGGACTTCTTACCCCTCCCTCTCTACTTCTTTCTTGTTTCTCCTACAGTTGAAACCATCTATTATGAACTCTTTTCTTTCTTACTCCATACTTCAAAACCTGTCTACATTATCCTCTATCTTCTTTTCTCCTAGTCCAGTGGTGGGGAACCTGTGGCCTCGAGGTCACATGTGGCCTTCTGGGTCTTTGGGTGTGGCATTTTGACTGAGTCAAAGTTTTGCAGAACAAATCTTTTTATTAAGGGGATTTGTTCTGTGAAGTTTGGATTCAGTCAAAGGGCCACACTAGAGGACTTAGAGGACCATATGTAGCCTGAAGACCTCAGGTTCCACATGCCTGCCTATTTTCTGATAATGAATGGTCTTTCCTGCCAAGACCAACCCCTGATCTTATCTACCAGGTCTGTTCTGGCAGACTGACCCTAAAATTTCTTTCCCCGCCCCCCTCTCTTTCAACCTCTCTTAATCTACAGATTCATCCACACTGCTTACAAATATGCCTAAATAGTTCCAGTTTTAAAAAGAGGCTATCTATCAGTGGACCCTGCTATCCCTCTTAGCTATCCTTCTATATTTTTCCTCCTTTTATAGCTAAATTCTTAGGGGAAAAAAGTTATCTAGGGAAAATGGTAGAATAAGGCAGGAATTTGCCTGGCTTTCCCAAATTCCCTTACATATAATTTAAAATAGTGCCTCAAGTGAACTTTAGAGTGGCAGAAATAATTAAAAGTTGGGTAAAGCAGTTGTCCAGCTTAAGACAACTTGGGAGGATGTTAGGAAAGACATGACCTCCCAAAGTGGTGGTCTGGCCCGACTGATGTACAGATACCTCTAGGCAGAAACCCTGAATCAACAAACAATGAGCCTTGGGCAGCTGTGTCAGTGCCAGTCTCAGCTTCAGGAATTTTTGCCTCATGGACAGTGCAGGGGTAAGACTGTTGATCAGGGGAAGATTTCAGGACCTTCCACTAGTGCTGGATGCATGGACTCCAGCTGTGGGTAAGGAGAAGTGAGTGTATGCTGGTGAGTGCACTCAAAGAGGGGAGATGCCTTGCTGACTATGGTCACTTGCAGGAGAGTGAAGTCCCTGGTTTTGGTTTCAGCACAGAGGAGTCAGCTGAAGCTTGCAGCTGCTGGAGGAATCTGCAGGGAGTAAGAGTATTTGCAGTGACAGTGTTGTTGAGGGCCCTGGTCATGGCAGAGAGGAGTACCTAAGGTCAGGCCCCCAGATACATCTCAGAAAACAACAGTATGAAAAGAGACATTCACTGCCCCCCCTCTTCAGGACTGCAGCCTGACTCTAACATAAAGTTAACAGCCAAGAAATAGGCCACTAAAAAAAAATGTGAGTAAGCAAAAAGAAAGAACCCAGCCATAGATAGCTACTATGGTTATAGAGAAGATCAGGGTTCAAACCTAGAAAAAGGCAGTGAAGTCAAAACAACTACTTCAAAAGCTTCAAAGAAACACATAAAATTATCACAAGCTCAAAACAGTTCTTGGAAGAACTTTAAAAGGACCTAAAAATTAAGAGAGGTTGTGGAAAAATTAAGAAAAAATATGAGTAATGCAAGAAAAATTAAAAAAAAATTGTGAAAAGAAAGTCAAACAATTGGAAAAAACTTGTGGAAGAAAATAACTCCTTAAAAAGTAGAATTGGGCAAGGTGAAGCTAATGGCTTCATAAGACACCAAGAAATAATAAAACAAAATCAAAAGAATGAAAAAAAGAGAAGAGAATGTGAAGTATCTTATTACAAAAGCAATTGACTTGGAAAGCAGATTGAAGAGAGACAATATAAAATTGTTGGACTACTTGGAAGTTATTATATTTTTAAAAGGAGTCTAGACCCTATACTTCAAGAAATTATTATTATTATTATTATTATTATTATTATTATTATTATTATTATTTGTGATGCAATTGAGGTTAAGTGACATGCCCAGAGTCACACAGCTAGTAAGTGTTATGTGTCTGAGGCCATATTTGAACTCAGGTCCTCCTGACTCCAGGGCCAGTGCTCTATCCACTGCACCACCTAGCTGCCCTCATTTCAAGAAATTATTAAAGAAAATTGTCCTGAAGTTTTAGAAGTAGAAGGCAAAATAGAAATTGAAAAAATCCAACTATTACCACCTGAAAGAGATTTCAAGATGAAAAATCACAGGAACATTATAACTAAGTTTTGAAATTCCCAGGTCAAGGAGAAAATATTACAAGCAATTAGAAACAATTTAGATATTGTGGAGCTACAATCAGTATGACACAAGATTTGGTGGCTTCTACAATGAAAGGCAAAAGGGCATGGAACATGATATTCTGAAGAGTAAAGGAGCCGGGTTTGCAATGAAGAATAACTTACCCAGCAAAGCTGAGTGTAATCCTGCAAGGAAAAAAAATGGATATTTATTGAAATAATGTACTTTCATGTATTCTTGAGGAAAAGACCAGACGTGAACAGAAAATTTGACCTACAAGAATCAGGAGAAACATAAGAAGGTAAACATGAAGGACCAATTAAAAGAGATTTAATAAGGTCAAATTTTTACTGCTTAAATGGGAAAATGTTATCTGTAACTCTTAAGAATGTCATTACTACTTGGGTAGTTTGAAAGAACATACACAAATAGAAGGGTTGGTGTTGAATTGAGTATGATGGGATGATAAAAGACTGAG